CGTCTCGATTATATATATATAGATTTATCATACGATAACAATGCCTCTTTATATGTTATAAAACATGTTGTCTCATACAATAAGTCATAGACTATAGGCAAAATAGTTGATCAGATATGTTCTGTGTATTTGACGTCCTGTTGAACTGGGAGATTGAAACGAATGGTCCAATTATGCTACTATATAGAATACAATTATGCTATATTATGCTTGCTGTTAGAAGATCTCCGTGCTTTTAACATTCTTTGAAACCTGAGCACAGCGAATACTTATCTTCTATTTTTCCCTGTTAACAAAGATAAATAAATATTGTTGAAATATTACTTATTGTTGAAGAATAGAAATATTGTTACTGAATAAGAATACTGAACAAGAGGGGTTGTGAGCTAGATGTAATTTAAAGTGGTGAAAATGTTCACCCAAAAGGTAATATCACATGTACGGAAAAAGATTTTTACTGTATAAATATTACAGCATGTAGCTGATATTGTAACGTATTTAGAAGTCATAATAAACTTTAATAAAATAAGAAATATTGTTAAACAGTTGTTGACTTTCTTTACATGTTTTTCAAGGCTGGATGATCGGCAGTTACGATGACAGCATAACTGGGAAACTAAAATCAAAACTGGCCAAGTCGTAAAACCCCAGGAAGTATTTCTTGGGCTGTTAGTCATGAATATGACTAAACCGGACTGTTCATAAAATTTCGAACCTGAAATACTTGTTTTGATCTTGTACTGAAAATACTTAAAGCTGCATCATTTGTTTAAATAATTCAGTGTTAATAAATAACTTATAATTAAAAAAATTCTTCATTAATAGGCCAAATTGCATCTTGTTCTTTATTTTTATAGATATTTTTCTTTAAGAACTGAACATTCGTCTTGAATATAATCATATAAAGAAATGATAATTATACTTAGTTGAGCAATCGCTGATCAAAATCTAATGTTATCATCAATGTTCAAGTTAGATAAGTCGTTGTTAAATTAGCGAATTAACTCTAATGTGGCCCTGTTTTGGTTTTATTTGTATACGGAAAAGTGACACGTAGAAGACTTTCCGATAGGGAAAGCCTTCCGGGAGATCTTTTGCGGAAAATTGCTCCTATTAAACGTCACTAGTGTGAAGAAAACCGAAAAACATGGCCATCCTGTTGACTAGGCACGAATCCATGACTACTATCAGTGTTCAGTGGTTTTATCCACTTTTAATAACTCGATATAAAATAATTTAACAAGAGGATGTGATTAGGTCGCTAACTCGCTCTACATTTAATAATTAATTAATTTTAATTTAAAGTTAGAATGTTCTGGAAGAAAAGAATTGGCCCGGAGCTGACTTGAACCCGCAACACTAGCTAATCATGACGGAGTAATACCAACTGAGAGCAATAGGGAGCCGTAGGTGCAAAACTTTCTCAGTCGGTATGGTAAGTAACCTGTGTTGTAAATACGTGAATGCTTGTCTTTAATTACTTATATTATATTTTAGTTCACTTGTGAACTAGGACTTATTATACAGAGGAAAGAAAAACACACAATTTCCAATTAAAATATGTTTTATATGGAAATTGTGTCTCTCTTCCCTCAGTATAATAAATCCTAGTTGAGAAGAAAGATCAAAATGGACAAAAGTATAAGTAACCTGTGTGGTTACATCTAAATTAATATTGATAATTCTGGAAGCAAAGATCGGATAAAGATTCGGCTAAAGTAACTGGCCGACAGTCCTTCACTATGTTCTTCTCGTCGAAGATGCGCAGAGACGAGAACTTCGGCGTCTGTCTGGCCCAGGGGCGGACGAGATGGGGTCGCTGAGCAAGGCGGGCGATCGGAAGAAGTTAGAGGCGGAGTCCAAAGTTCTTGGCGACGACACACCACAATATAAGTCACGACCTTTCGTGGAATATGGAGGAGAGCCTCCCTCCGACCTTGAGTTTCGGATTTTTATAGTTTTTTTTCTCTCACTATTCAGACTTCTGATTGGCCTTTCATCTCCTTCCTCGCTTCCCGATTGGTCTCTCTTTTGTTTTGGAGAAAACCGAGACCGACTCGGGTCACGGGAAAGGTCCGATTCCAGGTATCTGCTCGACGCCTTTCTGTCGATTGTTCTTGGGGATTGTTGACAAAATTGCAAGACTCGCGCTCATAATTTAGCTCCGTAACTCGCGATTTCTCTCATCTGGGTACTCGAACAATCATATGCAATGATTTATCTCTCTTAATTAAATCTTTCCCTCTTTTCCAAAATTGTTTCCCTAGATTGATTGTTTATGATCGTTTGGGTCAAAGTTCTATCTGTTTATGATCATTTTTGTCTGACTTATAACTTTTCATTTTGACATTGGCAGTTCATTTAACACGTGTTGGAGTCATCCGGGACTCGTTGTGTATATTTTGTGCCGCGTTGTTTAAATTATGGGATTTTCCTCTCCCTTTCATATTTAATCTAACGTTATTATTTAATCATAGGAATACCGCGATTTACATGATTTCGGATCTCGGTTGGGTCCTCATACAACGCATCTGCACAATTAGTTAGTGTCGAGAGTTCGAATTTCATTCCGGATCGATTCTTTTCTTTCAGAACATTCTAAATTTAATTTACAACAAAGTAAGAATTAAGAGATTATGGGAAAAATCAATTAATGCCATCAGCATTTGGCAAGAATTCTCCAAATTCGTGTTGAAATGATGCACAAATCACGATTTCTGTCTTCATGTAGAAAGTATCGATAAGCGGCATGACTCTATTGTTAACAGGATATATGATAATGAATTATAGCTTTTACATATGTTTTTTTTTCTTATTTTTCTAATAAAATAAATACGTTTAAGCTCACTCAAAAGAAGGGTAATTTGATTTTTTTCATCCAATCAATTATATAAATTGATATTTACTTAATTCGATAAATCCAAACCCAGAACATTCACGTTTTCGTAACGCCTTTAAATCAGTTATATTAATTCTATCACACCAAACTCTATTAATAATCTTAGAATATCATTAAATTACATTTATTTACATTCGATTTTAAAATATTTGCTCTCCACCTCAAATTAGTATTGGCTTGCCCCTGTACATCATACTTTTCCTTTAACAATAGAGTATATAACTGCGTACTCGAAATTAAGAAAGTACGTCAGTAAAAATTTATAGGTTTGCAATTTCAATTTGCAGCCCAATTACGAGTAAAATGTTTATTAAGTAATGTATATTGTTCTCCAGGGCTCTTGTCGAGACTTTTCGGCATGAGTATGTATAGATTTTTATCATTCGTACCCGAGTCATTCGGATGAGGGTTGTGAATTAGGCATAACTGTTTTGCTTCATTTTTTCGCCATCAATTTGACTTTTTTTTGTTGTTCGTATTTAAAAGTGATTATTTGATAAAAGCTGCGGGCCTCCTTACAAAAGTCTCGGGCCCCAAAGATTGCAGAACACTGAAGTAAGGCAAATACAACACATGAACAATGTGCACCCGGAAGGACTTTTCATGAGACTATATTTAAGTGAAGATAATTAGTAGAACTTCACGGACTGTTAGGAGAGAACTCAAACCAGTGTTAAGTAGTTTTATTTACTCAACCAGACCACTGAAATTGCAGCAGAGACCGAATTTTCGTTGAAAAGTGACAATAAAAACTCTTTGACTTTAGAATTACGATTAATTATTAATTATGTAGGTGCTGATCTAGGATTATTTGTAATTAAATATTGAAAAAAAATGACATAACTTTTCTTAAAAATCTGGAATTTTTTTTTCATAAATTTATAACTACAGAAGCATTCTTTCGCTTATTTTTAAGGCGTTTAAAATATAAAATATTCATTTATTTAATAAAGTTCATTTGCAATCTTCATAAAGACAGGCTGCTTGAGGTAATCTGAAAGAAAAAAATTATTGCGTGAACGTATTTATTCTCAGAATATTCAAATATAACTAATAGGAATTATACTTACGATAATAGATGTTCAATACACTTCTTAGTACACTCGGAAAATTTGAATTTGTTAACTTCATCATTGTGACTTCCCATTATGTAACCGTCGTCATAGGAACAATTTTTGGCACCCGGATTATCAGGAATGCTCATTTCTTCCGGTCCTTCCCCATCGTGTGGACTTCCGATTCTATAAAAACAGTTTGCATATTTTCATCTCAACAATACTTCGTTTAAAATAATGTTTTAACCTACTTACAGATGGGCCGTTTCATGAGCTACGGTATCGACTCTTTCGTTGTAATCCGAATCGTCATAGGCCACTCCGACTTTCTGGCATTGCACACAAACACCTTCACTAATTGAAATACCTGAATAAATCATTTTCTATGTAATACTTCCAAAATTATCAAATTTTATGTAGAATAAGTAAAATGTTTACCCGCAGTATTAAAAGAGACGGTACCATCATCTTCTAACTCGCCTAATTTACGACTGAACAATATAAATATATTAATTTAACTCTATATGATTTTTTAAAATGCATTTTAAAGTATTTAAAAAAGACATCTAGTGTAGCATTATATATATAAAACTGCATTGACCTCATGGCTGACTTATATAAACAGTATAATTTCCGTATTAAAAGCGTGCGTAAATTTCTTAGAATATAGGGGAGATCGGGGCAAGATCGGCATGTTAAGCTTTACTTAAATTTTGTGTAATAAATACTGCTGTAAACTGAAAAAAAAGCTTTGCATATTGTCTATTGGAATGTTACCTTACTATAGAACTGGTTAAAATCAGTTTGGAAATAAAAATAATTAAAATAATTACAACTTTANTTAAAATAATGTTTTAACCTACTTACAGATGGGCCGTTTCGTGAGCAACGGTATCGACTCTTTCGTTGTAATCCGAATCGTCTTGGGCCACTCCGACTTTGTGGCATTTGATACAAACACCTCCACCCTGCGAAATACCTAAAGAAATAATTTTCTATATAATATTTCCAAAATTATCAAATTTTATGTAGAATAAGTAAAATGTTTACCCGCAGTATTAAAAGAGACGGTACCATCATCTTCTAACTCGCCTAATTTACGACTGAATAATATAAATATATTAATTTAACTCTGTATGAGTTTTTTAGAATGCATTTCAATGTATTTAAAAAAGTCATCTAGTGTAGCATTATATACATAAAACTGTATTGACCTCATGGCTGACTTATATAAACAGTATAATTTCCGTATTAAAAGCGTGCGTATATTTCTTAGAATATATTAAATATAATAATTACCTAAGTATAAGCATAATTATATCTGCCTCCTTTGCTAAACCACTGTCATTTTTACAATAATATTTCCCCATATTTACAACTAGATCAACCGGATCAAGATGTTTTTCGTGACCGGGAATGGCACTATCTTTGATGAAAGAAGGTTCGGTTCCTATCTGTTGTCGAAATCAAATTTAAATAAATGAATCTAATTCTAAAAAATTATAAACATTTTCAATATTACCTTAAATGCTTGAATTCCCAGTAAACGAACTTTTATTCCCAAGTTTAATTTTTCTAGTAGGTTTTGAACCTAAATTTAAAATAAGAAAAGGAAGATCATAGTGAAATTATATTATAATTTCAAACTAAATCCTGAATTTCATAACCTACCCCAGTAAATAATATGGTTACGTATTCTGTTAAAGCTTTATCTGTATTAAAACGCTTAGTAAAATTACTTTCTGTTACACACAAATATTCTATAACAATACATTTCTTTTTCCCTGCTCTTCTCTCTACGTTTTCCAGTTTTCTATTAATATCAGTAGTTACAACTGAAAATATATTAGAAATTTTATGAAATTAAAATAATACAATTCTGTATATACTCAATACATTTATTAAAATGCATCACCGTCATTCATAAAGGAGTTTTTGTCACTTATAACTTCCACAATTTGATGCGCTATTCTTCCATCTTTAACCATTCTTCCCGACTCGTAAGGTGCGATTCTCATATTCGAATTAACTATTCCTTGCTGGAGTACATTAAAGATATCAGTAAAAATTTCTGCAATGATATATAACTTTTTTTATTAATAAATTACAATAGTAAGAGGCCCGTCTTCATCGATCAAAAGTGCTGCTCCCTTATCACTATCTCTGTAGATTCTTCTTTTCAAGTCTTCTACGTCGATCTTAAATATTTAAATAATAAAATAATATTTATCTTTCGACTGCATCTTTATTTTTAATTTTAGATAAACTGTTATTAACTTAAACTTTAATCAAATTATGACTTACTGAATAATACATTTGGTCATTTTCGTCTACGAGTGCGAAGTTTCTTGCCAATATTTCACCTGCTGGTTTCAGTTTCAATTCGATGTCTTGGTCCAGCGCTTTAAATTTAATTGTCTTTTCTCCAGATCTGGAAGTTTCCACGGATGGATACACCACATCAACACGACCTATATATATCAGTAAACATAAAATTTTCAATCTTATTTTCATGTTTATAATTTACCACCAGTGGCCGAATGGATGACACCACTGGACACTAATCGCGGGTTTGTGCAAGAAAACTCCACATCAAAGTGCAAGAAAACTATATGTGGTCATACGAAAAACTTCACGTTGAGTTTTTCCGTCTTTCTTCCCGTATCTAACACCTAAATAAGGGATTTGTCATAGAAAAGTCCTCCCGGTAAGCATCTTCCTTGACATATTGTTACCTTACATCATAAATCCAATTCTAATTTTTCAGGGCATAATTTTTCCACGCAAAAAATAGAACGTCTGAATAAGATTTTCGCAATGCCTCAGATATTAAATTGCATGTATTATACAAAAGCACAGAAACAGTAAAACTTAATTACAATACATGCATCACGCCATAAAAAAAAACAATAATATTAAATACGTATCGTATAGCTAGAAACTTTTTAAAAACGGGTGCGGCACATTAAAAAAAACCAATTGATTTTATTAGCTACGCTTTAATTTTATAGATACCAACGTATTTTATATTTACAACGCTATTGGAATAGTAATACTCTTACCACTTGGAATGGCCGAAACAGCGGTGAGGAGGAATATATTTGCTAGATAGAAAATCATGGTTAGTTATAGTATTGCCTACATCTTATTTATACTTACAGCTGTCAAGTGGAAAAAGCAAATTAGCTGCTATTACTTGATTACTCATCCTTTCAAATTGCTTTTTTGCATCTGTGACAAATTTTAAAGCGTTAATTAGTGCTGAAAAAGCATACTTTTATATATATGTATATATATATATATATTGTATGATTTATAATTTTCATTCTTATAATATTTCATTATCTTCTTTAAATATGTCTATTTTCCTTTTATTTTATTTTTTGGCATATAAAAAATTCGTTTTAATCCATTTACATATGTTCAATAAATCAATTTAAATGTTCACAATAACAATTTTAATATTATTATTTATCACGAATATTAAATATTTATATACAAAATTTAATAAAGATTTATATTTAATTCGTGTAAA